CCATCACGGGACCTGGTTCCAAATCACCCGCCCCCGGGAGGGTCTCACCCCCAGGAGCTGCTCCGCCAGCCGGGCATCTGGTCCCTCTCGGTGGCATCTGTTGCCTTCTCGGGAGATCTGCACCCCCGGTATGGGGTGCCCCCTCTGCTGAGGGGGTACAACCTCCCACCCAAGGTCTGCTGCCTCCTAACAGATCGGCCCCGCTGGGATCTGGACTCTCCCCAGGGTTAGCTGCACAGCCCCTAAATCTCCTGGCCAGGGGAGCTGTTGCCAGCCGGTTCCAATCCCCTTCCCAGGGTTCTGCTGCCCCCCACAAGCATCCCCTGCCCTCCGGGATCTCCTGCCTCAGAATCTGTTGCCACCCCACTGCCCCCCAGGAGCTGCTCCCAACCCTGGGGTCACATGGAGGGTCCTGAGCTCCCCCCAGTACAGAGGTGTGGGAGGTTTCCCGACAGCCCTCATGCCCATGGACCCTTGGAAGCCATTCCTGTGGCCAAAAATGGGTGCAGTGCCCAGGCCCTGGCTCAGTCCCTGTCCCCTCTTCCTCTGGGGCCCAGCAGGATCCAGCAGGCACCAAGCAGGGATGGGGCTGGGGAGATACCAGAGTGCTTTCGGTATGAGGATCTGCCTGGTAAACGTGGGATGTCCAGACACCTCCTGTGCAGGGTACACAGACCATTTTTTGGCTTGGATAAGTTCCCGGGTCCGTGCTGGCCCGAGGTCTCACCCAAGGACAGGGCTGGGAGAATCGGGGAGGTGCTGAGTGAAGGAGGAAACACGACAAGGCAAATCACTGTCCTTGAAGAAGGGGATTGATCCTTTTAAGTCTTTTTTTTCCCCAAAGGAAAGAAGCTGTAGGAAACCAGGTTTCCTTATCGCAGTGCTACCATAAATAAAACACCTTCCAGTTCTCCCGCCAGCTGGTCACTATATGGCGCTGGTGCCCACTGCCGGCCCCACAAGGATGCAGAGGGGCAGGATGGGGACCTGCAGGGACGGGTGCAGGAGCAGGGACACCCAACTCACCCCCCTCCCCATTGCTGCTTGGTCCTACAGCTCCCACCAGCACTGAGGTCAAAACAGTGGGAAAATAGAGCTTTATTGGGGAAAACAGCTTTGTACAAAGAGCAACTGCAGTGTGGTGCCCTAAAAAGTTGCTCTGCCACGTCCAAGAGTGGCAAGAAAGGACTGGGGGAGCTGGGGGAGCAGGACCTGCCTGCTTGTGGAACGGGGGGAGCACAGGACTCCCTCTGCATTGCTCTACAGCACCCCGTGGCTGCAGCATTCCCGCTGGGGTCCCTCTCACCCCAAATGTTCTCGAGGTTTAGCCAGGATAGGAGAAAGAGGAAAAGCCTAATACTCGTCCCCCTCCCTTGCCCCATCTATAGGGACAGGCACCCACATGTGCCCCCACGCACAGTGACCGGGGGCTTCAGCCCCAAGCCCCGCATCTTTTCCGCTGCCCTGACTCGTGTCACCAGCGCAATATTTGCATATGCAAATCAGAGTGGGTTAATTTGCATGCCTGTCCTCATCAGCTGTTGTTAAAAC